CGCTGTCGCCACTTTCGAGGGCTGCTGGCGGGTCCTGCGGACTGGGGCACCGCGGGGATCTGAGCGGGACCTCCCCGTCCCTGGGGTGCTGCGATCTGCGACGCTGTCGCCACTTTCGAGGGCTGCTGGTGGGTCCTGCGGACTGAGGCACCGCGGTGATCTGAGCGGGACCTCGCCGTCCCTGGGGGCCTGCGATCTGCGACACTGTCGCCACTTTCGAGAGCTGCTGGTGGGTCCTGCGGACTGAGGCACCGCGGAGATCTGAGCGGGACCTCGCCGTCTCTGGGGGCCTGCGATCTGCGATGCTGTCGCCGCTTTCGAGGGCTGCTGGCGGGTCCTGCGGACTGGGGCACCGCGGGGATCTGAGCGGGACCTCCCCGTCCCTGGGGGGCTGCGATCTGCGACACTTTCGCCACTTTCGAGGGCTGCTGGTGGGTCCTGCGGACTGAGGCACCGCGGTGATCTGAGCGGGTACCTCGCCGTCCTGGGGGTCAGCGAATCTGCGAACACTGTCGCCATTTCGTGGCCGCTGGTGGGTCCTGCGGACTGAGGCACCGCGGGGATCTGAGCGGGACTTCGCCGTCCTTGGGGGTCTGCGATCTGCGATGCTGTCGCCATTTTCGAGGGCTGCTGGCGGGTCCTGCGGACTGAGGCACCGCGGGGATCTGAGCGGGACTTCGCCGTCCCTGGGGGGCTGCGATCTGCGACACTGTCGCCACTTTCGAGGGCTGCTGGTGGTCTCTGCGGACTGGGGCACCGCGGGGATCTGAGCGGGACCTCGCCGTCCCTGGGGGGCTGCGGTCTGCGACACTGTCGCCACTTTCGATGGCTTCTGGTGGGTCCTGCGGACTGAGGCACCGCGGAGATCTGAGCGGGACCTCCCTGGGGGCTGCGATCTGTGGAATTGTCGTCATTTTCGAGGGCTGCTGGTGGGTCCAGCGGAGTGAGGCACCGCGTGGATCTGAGCGGGAGCTCGCCGTCCCTGGGGGGCTGAGACCTGCGAAGCCGTCGCCACTTTCGAGGGCTGCTGGTGGGTCCAGCGGAGTGAGGCACCGCGCGGATCTGAACGGGACCTCGCCGTCTCTGGGGGGCTTCGATCTGCGACACTGTCGCCACTTTCGATGGCTTCTGGTGGGTCCTGCGGACTGAGGCACAGCGGGGATCTGAGCGGGACCTCCCCGTCCCTGGGGTGCTGCGATCTGCGACGCTGTCGCCGCTTTCGAGGGCTGCTGGTGGGCTCGCCACTCATGAAGGCTGTTGGTGTGTCCGGCGGAGTGAGGCACGCCGACCTTGGGGGGGCATGTCATGTTGTCGCTGCCCCGCCGACGTGTCAAGCCCCTGGCCCACCGTCTCCTTTTGGACCTTGCGTCTTCCTTAGCGACTCAGGGTTCACTTAGTTATTCATGGTGTTGCCTTTTATTGGGGACCTGCGAACCTGTCGAATGCCGCTCGCAGAAATATATGCGTCCATGTCACGTCGCCGCCTTCTCGTCAAATCTCCCAAGCTACTCCTGCCCCGCATTGCGCAGGGATTGGGTACATCGTTTTTTTCCCAACCATCCTGTGGTGTTGGGTCCTCGTTTTGAAGAGACGGTGCCCCGCGTTCCCGCCTCCTTCCTCCCTCCCTCCTCCCCCCTCCTCCCCCTCCCACACCCATTCTGGCACACCCCTCACACGTTTCGTGGCCCCATAGGGAGCTCCACCGAAGGCCCCAGTGGCTGCGCCCGCATGCGGTTCCACCCCCATTCTGGCACACCCCTCACACGTTTCGTGGCCCCATAGGGAGCTCCACCGAAGGCCCCAGTGGCTGCGCTCGCATGTGGTTCCACCCCCCATTCTGGCACACCCCTCACACGTTTCGTGGCCCCATAGGGAGCTCCACCGAAGGCCCCAGGGGCTGG